ACCACGATTAATACTCAAAGTTATATCCTAATGACCAAATTTGTTATAGTACTTATCTACAAATAATGGAACACATCGATTAATTTGTATCTTACAATAGGATTTTGATATAAAGAAAGAATTTCCTTTATTTCTTTTTGTTCTTAATATTCTCTAGAATTCTCTTAGTATTGTTCTAAAAGTGTTATGTAACCTTGAAAATACAAAACTGATTTTAAATGAAAATTAATGAATTCTATTGTTTGCAACTGTAATAATATGATTCAAGAATACCATTTTAATTTTATCAAAGCTTATTGATTAAATCTTCTGAAATATTTAATTTTTTCCACAGTCCATTGTCAAATGGAAATTTTTGTTTCAAAAATATTATATAAAAAAAGGCTATCCCAACACCTATTTGAAAAAGTGATATTATGTAAAGATGGCACATGATCTCTTCCATTAAGAATCTAGTAATTCTTCTTTGGTGGCTTTTCTTAACATTCTGGTTATGGGGTTTTGCTTGTTTCTCAGGTTGGCTGTTGTTATGTGCTTGCCATATAGCTTCTTGGCTCGAACTAACTATGAGCTTTACCATTTATATAATTAATATACTAGTTAATACTTGTTACAATAGAAAATACAATTCCTAAATTTTTGCAGTACCAAAGTATACTTTTGAAATCACAGACTAATTAACAGCCTTGCAACTTTCATTTTCATTCAGAGTATATCCCTTCTAATAGCATTCTAATAACTGTCATTTGATAATTTTTCTGCTACAATTAATTTACAAACTTTTTGAACTACTTTAGGATGTATATTTCTGTGCATATAATAATACCCTAAAGGCTCTGACTTCTGATACTAATACCAAATATCTTTGTCAGAATGTCCTACTATCTACATTCACCTGTACAATCACATTTTACATTCCTTCAATTAATATATTTGTTTAATATACTAGTAAGATTCACCCACGTTCTACATTGGTAATCATTACTTTTACCTGCTCAACAGCATTCTTCATTGAAAATGACTGAAATGTTGGTTTATGATTCCTCCGAATTTGTTTAATCTCTGCCATCGATGAAAGAATATGTCTTTATCATCTAAGCTCCCGTAATTCGATAAAAGCTAAAATGTTAGTCATTTTTTGATAATAAGTATTAAAATTACCTCACATAATGCACAGTTCATTGGAAATCGGATAAGACTAAAACATTTTGTTATCTGATGGATACACAAAATGAAGATAAAAGATGAAAAATGGCGACGTTAAAAAGTGTGGAATGTTAAAAATTAGAAAACTTTAAGAGGATGCGTTGGTGGGATGAGATGAGGCGAGACTATGTGTATCCATCAGATAACAAAATGCTTTATTCTTATCCGATTTTCAGTCTACACCTATTATAGCTTCATTGACTTTGTCGCTGATGATGGGGTAACCCGAAACTAGTACGACTTTATATAAATAAATGCAAGTTAGAAGTTATTACATGGTTTTTATTTGATTATTAATCTTGCAACATGGATAACTCTTTCAATTTAATAATATAAAGTAATACAATTACAATCCGTTCCTTAAACGCCGACATTCCTTAGATAATCTAACAGTAAGGCGTAAATAATGATAGGTCAGAGCACAACTGTTGTTGTATCACGAGCATTAGATTCAAAAGACAAGCATATATTTTAGCGCATATTGAAAGTAATGTAGGGCTTAAATTGCATCTCTGAAGCACCCCCAACAACTACAGATTTTCCGCATCAGATTTAACGACAAAACTCAGTTGCCAATGAATTTAGTAAATACCATTCTTGAGTCAAATTTTACTATGTGCGTATAGGTTAACCAGGGTTGAAACCAGATTCTATCATTAGAAGATTATCTGGGTAGACAAACTCCCAGTGGTCCCCACAGCGATGCAAGTTTTATTTACATCATTTTATAGATAGAATCTACACGTTAACTTGATGATATATGATAACTGGACTTAATTTTATGCCTAAGCACTTAACCTATGTATACAGTTTAAGTTACGTATGGCGTGAATAAAAAAGTATTTTCATTTTCTTAGACTTGACAGAAAGAAATTAATTATTAGATTAACTATCAGTTAGATTGAGTGCTCCCTGCATCGCATCAATAATTGTCAGTTCTTCCACGTATCGTAACGGTTATGAATTCACCTAGGCTAAGGAGTATTATTACGACATTTTACAAAAATGGGGATATGCACCCTTACAAATAGGTTATAGTAACTTCTTCATAAAGTGTATCATGCCGAGTCCTTAGCTTAACGGTTCTTTGTCTTAAGGTGTTCTCGATCTAGATACAAGTGGCTGGGGTGCATTGTGTTCTAATTTCAGAGAAAAAAGTTTAAGTGCCGGGCAGCCCTGGAAGATTATCTTTTGGTGCAGTATTAGGTGCTAGTATAATGGATTGGTGCAATACCATCTGGTCTTGGAGTTTTCTACGGTGACAATTTATTGCCTAACTGATTTTTTCCTCCGCGCAGATAGTTTTGGCAAGTAACCATAGATATTGGTCTAGGACCTGATGTATAGGTTCAAAGTAGTCCGTACAGAACCTGAGCAATGAAGTTTACTTATAGAGAAATATTATAGTAAGTAAATTATAGTAAGTTTGTTCATGTGGACGTTGTGAGTAGTGAACTAAGAGGTTCCAGTCTTAGTTTTTACCTCTAATAGGCAGCCCGTTTAAGTTTTTGTTTGATAAGATTAAGGAATTACTTAAACAATTTACATAATCTTTTACTACGCAACTATCAGCTTGTTGTAATGAATCAAGTTTAGCCAATAACCCGGTTAATGTTGATCGTCGCTTATCTACATCCGTTCTTCTGGAATTCCGACATTGATTACAAAAATTCGTTCACCTTTTTGCATTAGTGTTATTCATCATTATAACATTGTTCATCATGTCGCGATGGATGTCGAGTGATGCAGGTTTAAACTACCCTTAATTCGATGCCAATCCTTTGTACATCTTCTTTAGGTGTGTTTATCATGACGTAAAGGTGTTATGTAGGGTTTTTGTGTTATTTCCCGAAGGTGATAAGTGTAGGGCAGATTTAGTCAAGGCGTTTAGACGCCTAGTGTCTTGGATTTTTCCTCGAGGATCATGGTAGTCATCTACAATTGAATCCCCCCAAGTTTTTATTGTTGCTCATCATAAACATGGAATCCAACTTAGAATTCTTGATATGGGGAACAGCTGATGACCAGCTAACATGACGATGTTTATTTTAACTTAGGAGTGAGCAGCACCATAGTCGTCTAGATTCCAGATTACCGTCTAGTTGTCATTGCAAGTGATCTATAAATCCATCAAAGAGAAGAGGTCGGCGTTAGCATGTCGAATTATTCAACTTTTATCTGTAACGAGTTTAGACCTCGATAGCATCAACTTTTAAGTACGCCAGTTTAAGTACTTTTGGGGTCACCACTGGCTTTTGCATCCAGTTTATCTTGGGTGGTAGCATACTTCTTCATCCTCAAGGAGCGATCAGAAGAGATGGCAGTTCGTCTTAGGTTGCCCCCTTTACTGGCTGTCCCAATAATCGGATATTGATGAATATTGTTTTTTCTGAGCGAACTCCCTTTCTTTCTGCCTTCTTGTATGTTTGACGCCATACTCCTTATAGGGTTGTCTTTGACGATGATGGACGTCAAGGAAGTTTTGACAAGCTCTTCGTGGTAACGGCATTCAACCGGGGTTGAGGTGATACTCTTTGAGGTAGTGTCCTCTGAAAGAAAAAAGAAACTAGTAGAAATAAAGCTTGTGGAACGACGATTAATAAATACAACACAGAAAATCATCAATTATTACTATTTTGGTGAAACAGTCTATGTTCTTACAAACTTAATGTTTAGATTATGAAAAAAAAAGTTAAGAAAAGAGGATTAATTATGATGTTATGAATTAACGAAAAAAATGGATATTGTATTCTCATGGTTATGTAAATTGAACTTTAATTTTATCGGTCCTGACAAGAACTTTCCGTTGGTATCAATGAAAGTTTGGTTGACAGTTTTGACGTCATACACGCACGGCCGTTCTCGATTTGTGCGCAGTTAGTTGTTGGCGGCAAATGGCGATTATTTTATCTTCGAAGCAGTATGTCACTGGCGGTAATTAGGACCGCCAGGATCATTTATCATTTTCACTCGCACTGCGAACCTTTGATTTGTCAGCTGCAAGACGAATGGGCCGACGCTTTCGATGATATTAATTAAGAGCGCTAAGTATGGAGTTTGGCATACTGATGAAGCAGTTCACTAAGGGTTATTAAGAACGAGCACGGAAATCCATAGGAAACACCTGCGGTGATTTTGACGGCGACGTTGTGTAGCCGTTGGGAAGTCACTGCCACGATGAAAATGTCGTTAAAAAATTTAATCAATTTTGTATTTTTTTCTTATTATGTAAGTTTATAGTTTTGTAGGAGTGTTGAGTTAAAATATATTTTTTTTTATGTTTTTTCGCCACAAAAGGTCGTTTTACCATTGACAATGAATTCAATTAATGTATTGGTTGATTATTCCATGTATATAATAATAATTAATCACGTTTGTGTGCTAATGACAGAGAAATCTAATACATCCGTTAAAATTTTATTGTTTATTTTCGCGATTAAATGAAACTGATAAAATATACTATAAGAAAAATGATTTAGGGTTAATTACAAATTACTTAAAATCATTTTAAAATTCAATTAACTTTGCGAAGGCGTCTTATGTGATGAATTTTGTTAATTGCAATCAGAAGATAAATAAAGTAAATAAAAATTGCACAAGCCACAAACTCATTTCAAAATCATAATTATTTCCTTATAGGTGGCGGCAACCCATGATATTTGTAATTGAATTAAAAGTTATTAATGATATTAATTCAAAAATGCTAAATTCTTAATGGTTTTTTTGTGCTAAATGTACCAAAAATCGTAGTATGTAAATTTTGCTAATCTTGTTTTCTTCTTTGCTTGTTTCAGGACCCGTTCACGGTACGTAGGCGCATCGAAACGGACGATATCATCGTCCGGTCGTCCACTTTCGGATAAAAAGTCCGGTCCGTAAGTCGCACTTTCCTACGCAAAACAGATTGGCCCATTGTTCGCCACATACACGTCGCTAATTTGTGCTTTCACCCAGATCGAAGTGATAGCCTCGTTTCCAACGACCGCACCAATTAAAATGGCAATTTAATTTCGAATCTCATTCATTATTCTTATATCGAGCATTTTCGAATGATTCCAATACAAGCCGAGGTTAATACGCGAATTACAAAAAAAAATAATTTAATTTCATTTATAAATTCAAAACATGAAACATTTACGTGCATAGTAAGTTTGTTCATGTGAACGTTGTGAGTAGTGAGAAGTCTTGTAAAATATATCGAAGAAATGCGTTTTTAATTGGCGTTCGGACGCGTTGGCAATTAGGCGAACGCCGGTAAAGACAGCGCAACGGTACTGGGATCAGGATATTTTGTCACATGGTCGACCGCTGAGTTTTGTAATTCTGCCCGCGGGGATTCCACGGCGGACGATCCTTCATACGGCCGAGGGGCATAAATATTAAACATGTCCGCGGCGGAAGACCGTTTTACTTATTACATTACGAAAAAACGCCGACGGCCGACGACTGCCCGTAAATAATAGCCGGACGTGCAGAATTCATTTGCGCTGTGATGTATAGGGTACGCCCGATAGGCCATTTTGATTTAATGCGATATTGACGAAAAAGTGAATTTATTGTAATAAGTAAATATGTCGTATAATCGCCGTAACCTTTTTATATCGTTCCGTTCAGGCTTCTCAAACGTTTTCTTGACAGCCCGACGAGCACATACATGCTACAAAAAACTAAATGGTATTGTGGTACACTCCCACAAAGATAAACAAGAAGATTCATAACCGGTGCGACAACTTCATAAGGTCGTTTTTCATCGAAAATTGAAGGCTATTTCTTATATTATGCGATATCATCTCTTTTGAGGAAATTTGTCTTTCTAAAAATGGAGCAAAGATTAATAATTATATTTTTTTCCAAAAATATTTTATTTTTACATTTATCATGAAACTTCGTGAATATTAGTTTTGGTCTGTAGTTTCGTCCACAGATCTGGTTAAATACAAATTGTTTTAACGTATTAAAAAAACGCAGGTGTCAGTATTTAAAGAAAACAAGGAAGCACTTAATTCTTATTCCCTGAACCATTCAGAATATAGTTTAAACAATTCCCCGTGAAACTGTTCTTTTGAAGTTTGGCGATAATTGATTCGATGTTTATCGTGGATTGTAATTGACAAATAAAAAGTCCTTGAGAACGATGAAAAACTTTATTTTTATTTTAAGATCAGTGCAACATGTTTCGAAATTTATAATTTCTTCATCAGGCACGACTAGAAATATAAAATTAAAGCAAGAAAATTATTATAAATTTAATATTTGGTTACCGTCAATTCTTTACGGAGCACAAAATCGACTATCGGAAAAACAAGGTGAAATTTTGAAGTATTTAAAAACAATAACAAGTATTTCTCGTATTTTCTTTTGAATCCTGAAATGATATATAGTGAAGGGAAAGAGAACAATGAAACGCTTCTAGTTATTGAATCGATGTTGATTAATAGCACCGGTATTAGAAAAGGAAGAGTTGAAAATATGAGAACCACAATTGATTGATAGAGGTAGATAGAAATAAAGTTACATAAAATAATATAATACAGTTCGGATAATCCCTTGTTGAATTATTAAAAAGCATCTAGAAATAATTTTTCCAAACCCTATTTGCAATGTAAGAGGAAACTGAAATCAGACAAGATGCAAATCTTAGTATGAGGGAGAAGAAAGGACAGACCTCTAACACTAGAACAAGCCGAATAAGCAATCAAGACCAAAAGTCTATACCTAATGAAATCTATAAACTAGGTGATGAACAACTAATAAAATCAGTCATTGCACTAATAACGAAAATTAGGGAGGAAAAGACAATTCTCGAGGACTGAAAAAACAATATTGGTCCTATCTATAAAATAGAAGACAGACTAAAATGTGCTAATTATGGCGAAACATCTCTTCTAGGCATAGCGTATAAAATACTTACATACATGATTAACCACCACCTACAACCTCTGACAGAAAATATAATTGGCGAATATCAAGCAGAATTCAAACGTGGCACATCTTCGTAGATTTCACACAGGCTTAAGACTCGATCGATAAAAATAAACTGTACCTGATGTTGATTGAACTAGGGGTGCTACATAAATTAATCAGAATGATAGAGGCAGCAATGACAGACACAATAGCAGAGGTAGGAATCAAAAACCAACTAACAGATATGTTTAATACCTCGAATGGCTTGAAATAAGGTCAATTCAATCTGTTTTTGGAATACAAAATAAGACAGATAAACAAGGGAAAGGAATACGTACTAACCTATAAGACCTTACAACTGTTTGTCTATGCAGATGACATAAACATAAATACTAATATTAATACAAAAATACTAATACAAAAAAGTAGTAACGGAGACGAACATATCATATTAGAAGACAATGTGGAGATTGTAGATCACTTCATAAGGAGTGGAACTGAATTCAGCTGCTATGGAGAGGGGAGAAATTCGCAGAAGAATAAACACAGCAAACAAACTCCACTCTCCTAATTAGGCGGAATATGTAGTGAGAATGGAGAGAAAGAAGGTGACAAAAAGAATCTTGGACATCCGAATGTACAGGAAAAGACCAGTGAGAAAATCCCGGAAACAATGAGAGGATGAAATACAGGAAAATGTACCCGATTACCCAGAAGATTCTAGTACTAAAAAATGAGGGGGATAATCCCTATAATGTTATTATGTTACATGGCATAATACAAACCTGGGTAGTTGATAGCTACAAAGGATTGTGGATGATTGGTTTTTAGAGAAGAGGAGGAATAGTTTTGTATAATTTGTTGAACAGAGTATTCAAGATTATCCAAGAACAGCAAACCTTGGTTTCTGACCACTAAGGTATAGAAGATGCTAATTAATAATGAATTAAAGCGAATTCGACCTGTAATATACTTGTCAATGCAATTGATACTAGTACGCTTCAAATGGTTACAAATGGTATGCTTTAATTAAAGGAGCTAACTAATCAAAGGGTTTCACCACAACAAAGAGACTTGATAAGTTTGTGGCACACGAGGGCGAACATGTTGCTTCGATCGCGGCGTATTTGAAGAATTCTCTATAAGTTGAGCGATACGAACATGTAAACTGCCGGAGATTTTGGGTTGTTAGTTTCATTGTTGTCGTTCAAAGCATGCGAAACCTATACCCGGAATTTCTGAATCTTTCTCATCTACTGAAACTATTTTTTGCTAATTCCCTTGTCGTGCAGTAAGTTTCTTCGTGAATTAACCGATTTAAATGCCTCTAAAATTTTTTTTTCAAAAACAATTTATACAGCCAAAATATTTTTTTAACATTTTGCAAATAAAAAAGAACCAGCCATAACTAATTGGTTAGCCCATAATTGGCTATTGTAGTCTAATTAATTGTGGTGTAAAAATGGTTAAAATACGGACGCTAACATACGAAGCAGAAATACGAGGGAAAAGGGATATAAGGGATACAACGGTATATAAGAGATTCACTTTCTACTCTTTGTAAGGGTGTGTAAGTGGTAGATGAAATCGCGCAGGATTGGGTTGGGTTTTGTAGTGATGGGAAGCAAGCAAGGTGATTTGTTCTAAGGGGGAAGACGGCTTACTCTGCACTTATGGGAAGAGTGATTCGGGAAAGGATGGTAAAGGAAAATGTAAACCGTTTGAATGGGAGACTATCAGAATAGGGTTGGCATAGGTAAAGGGATGGTATATCTATGTACTGTGATAAAGAAGTTGAAGATGCACACAGGAAAGGGTAAATGTGTAAGGATTACGAGAAGTAATAGAATTGTGCTTGAAGAATGAGAGTAATGTGAAAGGTGATATATATACTATTTGCCAATAAGTTGTTGAACATCTATGTAAATATATACATCTGCAGTCCAGATGCCCGTAACGCTTTCCACCGTTTAACGTCGTGTAGTAAACAACGTCCAGAGTAATGCCAGGAGTTTCCATAAGCATCCAGGAGTATTGTTTCGGTGAATACCATTCATAAGGAAGCACATATGCTTAATTTTAATTATGGTCGTGCAGCCGCCCATAACCTTTTGATAACGAAGTCTAACAGAGCTGCTCTATTAATGTTTTGTAACACATCGACAATGGTAGATCAGTGCACACAGGTTTCCTGGAGCGACGAATCATGGTTAACCCTCTACCGTTCGGATGGCAGGGTCTGGGTCTGGCGTCAGACTGGAGAAGACCTCCTGCCCAAATGCATTACGCCAACAGTAAGGTTCCAATTATGGTCTGGGGGTATTTCTTCTGGTATGGATTGGATTGGGTTGGGTGACATTTACGTGTGTTCTACAAGCCGAGTAGAAGAAAATACCAGCAGCTACCATACACGGAATTATGGAAAGTATATCAAGTCGGGTTGAGGCTGTAATTGCCGCACCTGGAGACTCTACAAAGTACTGAATATGAATTAAGTTTATATGTTTTTTCTATTACATGTGTCCAAATACTTATTGGTAGATAGAGTATTATAGAAGATATGAAAGAATTCTTTAAATTGTTAATGTATATTAAATTTAAGATGGACATGGTTGGGATAAAGTTTTGGAAGATGTCAATATAACCATTGATTGTGTACAACCGTATAATTGTGGGGAGTTATTTACGAAACTTTTTACGGACTATTACAAGGATAACTAAGCAAGCGAATTAATTGCCATCTTGCTATTTGGGGCAATCGTAGGCAAAGTTAAGAATTTGTTGAATGAACATTAAGCAGTACTCTATTTGGTGATGACGTTTTCTGTTCATAGAATGTTAACAAGAATGATATTAAAACAATTCTTAATTATATGAATAATATTCCCCAGAATTTAAAATA